CGGTATCTGGCCTCACGCCCAATCTCTCCTTTTGTTGTCAAGGTTTAAGTTCGGTAGTATGTCGGCTGACCATGTGGTTGGTTCACGAGCATTCTACCTCTGAACAACTGATACACTATTTTTCTTTTATCTCCATTAAGCGAAATAACTAAAATCAGTTATAAATTTCAGAACCAAAACTATTTTGAACTTTGAATACGTGACATATTTATTTGTTTTGTTCAATTTAATGCTTCTAAGTTTTCTTGGAGTGATTCTGAAACAGGGTTTCCAATATTAGTCTGACTGATGCTTGACAATGCACTTTTCAAGATTTAATCCTAATTTTAACGAACATTTTGCTACTAATCCATTCCACTTGACTGTTATTTAGTACGAATGACTTACAAGAAGACAATTTTATTAAAAACGGTTTCTAAAGGATTGAGTTTCCTTACTGCTGATGACAGTTTAGAATTTAGAAGACTATGTAGTGAATGAAGGAATATATTCTTTTTAATTAGGTCCTTGTCAGTGGCTCCACCATTATTATTACTCTTTTGGGTTCTCAGTGAAACTCAAGGCCTCAATAGCACATCTCCATTTTGTCCTCCTCTCTTTAGTCCTCTCTAGCTAACTCAACGATTACTTATAAGCCTTCATCCTTTACTCACACTATCTCCTCCATATCAGTCTTGGGCGCCTAACTCATTGTCTGCTTCTAATTTGGATTCCCCTCGACAGCCTGGCGTTCGATATCATTCAACAGTCTTCTTAGTATTTGTTCGATCTATATCCATTTTCTTCGACATATTTGTTGGGCGATGGGTTCATGGTTGGTTTGTTACCAGAGTTTCTTGTTGCCTATCGTTTCTTGCCATTTGATCTTCAGTATAGAGGGCAGGTAAAACTCTTCAGCCTATTAGAAATGATTTTCGTGACGCACCAACTCTTTGAGCCATATTGAAGCATTGATTTGACGCAAGCGTTGAAAATCTGAATTCTCTCCCTTATGCTAAGTGTAGAATGATTTCAGACTAATGAAATTCTGTCTTAGCCTTCTGATCCTGGCTTTGAAATCCTCATAGGTGCCACTTATAGGTGAAATAATATTGCCTAGATAGGTGATGATAAGAAATTACCTTGTTCAAATTTCTCTCGTTGACAGTGATTAATACCTGTTATTGTTTTTGATGTTGGTGATTAGTTATCTTCATCACATCTGTCTTCTCTCTTTCTTTATATTTAAATACACATAAGCCCTTTTAGATATAACGCCTTGCTGACATCAATTGAAAGAGTGGTCTAAAATGCTTAGTTTCTTAGCTTAATGCCTACACTGAAAATTTACAGACAGAATTCAGTCAATACCAGACATATGATGATGATCACCGCCACGCCTACTTACCAATCAACATAAAATTCAGTCTAAAAATTTTCACCATCTAAAAACGGTTACTACTAATGTATTCTACATGATTGATATTTAATGCAAATAATTTAAAAGAAATTCAAGTGTTGGTTTGTAGGGATTTGATTGACTGGTTACAGGATTTCATCATGAGCTGACATTAGTTAGAGAAGCATTGGAAAACCTGGGAGTACTGGACAGCTGTTTGGTCCTAGTTTGGGACTCTTCATCAGTACGCACCCACCGGGATTCGAACCCAAGACCTTCTGGTTACGAGGCGAGCTCGTATACCATTAAGCCACTGGGACCCGATCCAATGGCCAGCCCATGAATTCTAACTTCTGCCAATTTAAAAGAAAAATTTATTGTAAACTACTTAAAAAAGCACTCAATTTCCTATTGTTTATGAGAGCTTACAGCTAGGGGGAGACAGTAAGGTGAGTGAAGAAATATTGACTTTTCAATTAGCTCCTCATCAGGGCTCTACCATTATACATAATATATATAGCACGGTTTAACAACCTAGTGGTGATAAGTTTGTTAGCAATAATGAGTCAGTTGAATTATGGGCTTTTTCATAGAGATTTGGGTTGATTTCAATGTAGGTCTGGTTACAAATCAATATGGTCAAAGAGATTGATCTCATACTCTGAAGGTTCCAGATTCGATCTTTGGTTGCGTCATGAGTGTGCAGTGATTTCGTCCGTAACTGGGACGAAATAGCTGTCCACTGCTCTCTCTCTGGTTTTCAGTGATCTCTAACTGATGTTGGCTTGTGACGAAATCTAGATTGAAAATAATTAGCCAATATAAACATGCCAGATGGGTGTTAACTACAAAACTAGTTCAAAGTTAAAGGGTGGAAATATTTGTGAAGATTAAAACACGTGATCGTACCGTGCACAGTTTTTGAAGTGTAAGAATAATAAATGAGTAATCAGTTGCATAATGAATAATTAGAGGTGAAGTAGGCAAATTAATAAGATAGTTAAAATATCAATATTAAATTGTAAATAGGTCGGGGAAAGGGAATTATGCTTAGTTTTCTTACTCATATGAAGTTGGCGAAGGTAAAGAAATCAGTTGGACGAATTGTTTTGCTGGATACACAGATTCAGCTGCACTCAACGTGAATTTCACTGGCTTCTGCTGTTTGTAGAAGACAAACTCAATACAAGATTAAGATTGATGGGTATAAACTACAGATAACTCTAAAGGCTTTTTCACGTCAATTTATGATTTGTATTGATTTGTTAAAATAGGGCTCTGAGTAGACTTTGTTTGGCAGGGATACAAAGCTGATGTTCATAAATTATTGAAGTACGTCCTTTTTTCATGATCACCAACTGTCAGTCACATCAAAACTTGATTTATCTTTTTTTATCCTTTTTAAGTTACCTGTATATTATGTTAAGATATAAATAGATTCGTTACAGGATTTTATCATGAGCTGACATCGGTTAGAGAACCATTGGAAAACCTTCAGGGAGTACTGGACAACTGTTTCGTCGGCCTAGTTTTTGACTCTTCATCGGTACGCACAAACTGGCAGGGCTCGAACCCAGGACCTTCTGGTTACAAGGTGAGCTCGTAGACCATTGGAGCACTGGGACCCGATCCGGTAGCCAGCCCATGAATTCTAACTTTTGCTGATTCACTACATAGCGCGACCGCTGGCCAATGTCTTCGGCGGGCGCTTACTGATGAAGATTCTCACACTAGGACGAAACAGCTGTCCACTACTCCCTGCAGGTTTTTCAATGGTTCTCTAGCCGATGTCAGCTCATGATGAAATCCTGTAAACAATCAATCACATCCCTACAAACCAATACTTGAATAAATAGATTCCTTATGGTCTAACCACTTAAAAATCACTTTTTTAGAAATTAGAATAATATTTGCGATTAGAATAAAATTTACTATTATACTACTGTTATACAAAAAACCTTATTACGCTTAAACTTATGAGCCAAATAATCGGTTCAGTCAACTTATAATTATTACATTCCAATGTGTTATGTGACCTCAATTACACAAAATACTTCCATGAGCTTTACTTCGCAAATAAATAAAACATTGGTGCAGTTAAATGTAGTAGAAATGAGGTAGTTTTGGTGAAATGCGGCATAATATCAGCATTTTCCGCAAAGTTGCCAAAATGATACCATTTGTGTCCTACAATTTCTTCGAATGCCATAAAATTCCCATAGAAGTGACTCAACTTTTAAAAATTTAACTGTAAAATATTTCTTCAGTACTTCTTTACTCTTATTATCGTATACATTAACCACCAACATCATTTCATCAACTTTTTGGAATATAAAACATAATAATAAGTTAAAAAATGTACATATTTTTTAAGAAGTGTTCTAATAACCTTGAAACTATGACAACACACATTTTATTAAAACAAAGAAGGATAAATGGCACACCCTCTTAAATTGGTTATTAAATTAATAAGTGGAATAATATATTATTTGGACTATTTTAAGGTTCTTTTCTTATAGCTTCTTTGATTTTTTAAATTTTCAATTGATTAAATAAAGAAGATTACAACTGATTAGTTTTGTTCTACTCTTAAAATCTTATATCACATTCAAGGTAGAATTTGTCAAAAAATATTGATATCAATTAAAGGACCATGAAAAGTTGTTTCTTCCTCGTTTATGACTCATCAGAGATATACAACCATAATCAAAGCCGTGACCAGGGCGTACTGGACAGCCATCTCGTCCTAGTTTGAGACTCTTTATCAGTACGAACCTAACGCGGTTCAAAATAAGAACCTTACGGCTATAAGGTGAGCTCCTAGACGATTCAGACACTGAAATCCGATCCAATGACCTATGAATTCCAACTTCTACCAAATCGCGATTTTAGCGCTACTACCAGTCAACATGATCGGCGAATATTTGCCCTCACCCCTAACGTGGTGAACCCTATTGGTCATGACTTCTCACTAGGATTTCAGACAACTTCATCCTGTAGCAAGTCGCTAGCGAGCATCGGATCAAGTTTCAAGAGTTAGTATTTAGAATTTATTGACCATTAAATTCCTCCGAGGTGACTGGAGAGTAAACAAGATCACATTCTAACCTGAAGGTCCTCGGTTCGATGCCCTATGCAGTCTTGGATGCGCACCGCTAACTCAAACGAAATAGTGGTTCCGTAACTGATATCACTTCTTAGTCTAAATTTAAATTTTCGTATATTTTTCTATATTCTTTTGTTTAGCATTCATTGAGAATTGAATGAATCTAAGGGTTCATAAAGAGTGAATGTATCTACACCTTTGAGAACGGCTTTGGAACATGTTACTAACAGTCTCCAGACATTGATTTTTAGTTTTTCGACAACTCAAACCAGTCAGTATACCTTTTCGCAACCAGAAATATGCTATAGTTTTAAGTTATAGCAAAAGTCCCCATTTTCTATCTTTTATGAGGTCTAACTTACAGGTTTTTAGCTTTTTGAAGACTGTGTTAATTTCTTGTCATAAGGATAGCTCCAAATTGGACACTTTTAAAATACACTTTAAATAATTGTTAACTTAATCACCCATTTTATTAGTTTCAGTTATGTGCAGGATTTTATTTTCACTCTTTTCTAGGATGGCAAACAACGATCTGTGAGTGAAACATCTGTCATTTTAATTATAACAACTATACTCAAAAGCTAACATTGCTTTAAGCTAATACCTGCCTAATTGTCGAGTCCACTCGAAATTACAGTGCTTAGCAGTGCTTCATTACTTAGTTTGTTTATTATGTTGGTTGTCTGATTGACATATTCGTATTAATCTTGAGATTTGAATATGCATATGTGGTTATTCCTTATTGTTCAATCTACTCCAATCTGTTCTTTACAATACTAAAACTTTATCATACATACTTCACTATTTCGTCATTCTTATTTCTGATGTAAATGATATGTTTGTGTAGTGCGGATTTTATAGCTCTCTGATAGTTGTTAAATGCACCTGTAGCTCTGTGGTGAGAGCTGGCTGCTAGCCAAAGTTGGTAGACAGTAATTGACGTCAATGTTTATGTCCCCAATATTGGTGGTGAGAAAATGAGAACAAAGGCTTTGCGTAGGCGGATACAGTTAGCATATAGATGATCTGACACAGCCACAAAGAGATACAAGGTTAACTTTCTGTGAGAAACAACCAATCAAAAGACTGTATTTCCTACTAACAATAATCTACAATAATGTACATTAAAATCTATAAATATGTGTTGATTTTCCTTAATAAACGATCTGTTGCCTGACCCTTGTCTTCTGTTGTTACAGATCTACTTTAAGTACCTAAAGCAAAGCATATGTGTTAAGCCTAGGAGAAGAAAATGTTCTTCTCTCATGAATTTGAAATAATATCCCTGAATGCTCTAGTCATAAATATTATTCACTTATCAGCTCTTTTATATACTCCTGAATCTGTCTGGTCTTCGCCACTCACATTCGCCTTATAACCTTTACTTTATTATACTGTCTTCAGCCATTGCGAATATTTCTAAGGTGTTTGTGATTCTGTTTAAAAAACAACATTTTTTGCTTTCCAAAATAATAAAACTATTGCGCAAACAAAATTTAGTAATTTCAATGACTGAAAGTAAAATTTTAACACATTCCATGTAAATCTGTTTAACTCACCTCCCTAAAATGTTTAATAAATATAATTTAAAACTAATATTTAACTGGTGATCAAATTTCTCTGTAAATAAAAGTAAACTTTGAGAAGTAATTTCATCAAATATGTACTGGATAACAGTAATTGTTCATATTTTTCCGATTATTCGTGACATACGTTTATGCTCACCATGTTATTTGTTGTTTTTTCCTGCAAAATTCTCTCCTTAGAACTCATGAGGAATCTCCGCCACCATATGAAGACTTCAATAAGTATCCGAAGTTAAGTAAATCAGAAAGTAGTACAAATTCCTGCCCTACTAAAGTATGTATACAACAACCTCAACAGATTGCAAATGTAAACTGTGAGCAGTTTGTAAACTCTGCAGCACCAGCTGAAATTTCAGGAGCTCATTGGATAGAACCTTTTCCAAAACCCCAAGGAGATCCACCTCCAGCTGTATTTGACTGGCTTCGTAATCGATTTGGTTCATTTCGTCAAAGTTTATTGAGTCGTTTATCCTTCCGAAGCAGTCGCCTAACTGGATCTTCACTAACAAGTTCACGTAATCATTCGGTTACACCAAGTTTCATGTTAACTACAGATGTTATTCGTAGTTCAACGATGGATCAGTCGGAGCTGTCAACTTCAGAGTCAACTACGGCATCATCTGTTGCAGAAGCAGCACCAGCTTTTTCAATATTAGGCACTCCGAATGAAATGAATGCATCGTCATCTTCATCATCGGTAACTCACGAATCCGATGCTCAAAATGTCACAGACTCATCTATCAGTTTGTCAAATGTCAACAATGATGAACAGATACAATCCAGTAATATTAGTAAACCGACTAGAATTTTAGTCATTCACGAGAATAATGTTAAACAAGCAAGTTCACACCAGACAAATTTACCAGAAGATAGTTCTGATCCCTCGGATGATGATGATGATGATAGTATTCACTCCATGACCCAAACATGTACAGATAGCTGTAGGATGCAAAATTTAATTGTACAAAATGTATGTACTATGTGTTTGTTTTAATTTTACAGTTAACATTGTGATGTAATTATAAATATTTAAAGTTATTCATACACCGATCCATTTCGATTCACTTCGAAAATGAGTTCAACTGAGAGAAATTTTAAACTATAGTCTTAACAGAATGCTGACTTCTGTTTCACAAAAAGTATCCACCTGAAAAACTGGTGATTACAGAATAACAAAACAACCAAACGCATTTAAATTATCTACATATATTTTTGAAGACCTTAAAGTCAAATGAATTATTAAGATCTATACTTATATATGGAATAAAGAGGTTTTACGAGTTGATCACGGATTGATATCAGTTAGAGAACGGCTGGAAACCAGGCAGTAATGGACAGCTGTTTCATCCTAGTTTGAGAATCATCGGCAGTACGCACTCACCCAGGACCTTCCGGTTACAAAGCAAGCTCGTATACCATTCAGCTACTGGGACCCGATTCAATGTCTCATGAATTCTAACTTCTACCAATTGAGGGTCGCGTTAAATAACGAATTGATATAAGTAAGAATTCATGAGCCATTGAATCGGGTACCAGTGGCTGAATGGTATACAAGCTTACCTTGTAACCGGATGATCCTGGGTTCGAATCCCAGTGGGTGCGTACTGATGATGATTTCCAAACTAGGATGAAACAGCAGCTGTCCAGTACTCCCTGGTTTTCAATGGTTCCCTAACTGATATCAGTCCGTGATCAACTCGTAAAATCATAACTAACCCTTACAAACCAAACTATAGAGAATATAGAGTTCTCAATTGTTGAGGTCCTGAGAATTTCCATTCATTTCAAAATAGATGTCATCACAAACTGGACAAAACTTTGTTATTGTTTCATCCTGGCCTGGAAATCTTCTTAGTAAGACTATGGTTGCATACTGTTGAAGAGTTCTTTACTAGAACGAAACAGTTATTTAAAGCCTTTTGATTTCTAGTGGTTCTTTTACTGATATAATTTTGGTGACGAAATCTGTCATAAGATACCGTATGATTACGTAGTAAGAAAAAACAACAGTTAAAATTAGAACTGGTGTCTTATTTTAGGTTATTGATCACTTGAAATTGGATAGGGAAACAAACATGTGTGTCATGAGAAAATACCTAAGAAAGTTGGCAGAAATAAATCATTTAACAAACTGGTACATATATATATACAGCACTAGGTTTATGCTACTTCATTTCACACTTAAGTGTAAATGAAATAATGTAAACAGTGTCTAATTTATTGCATGGAGTTGGTAGTGGTAACAACTTGCTAGAAAGTTGAATACTTTTAGAATTCGTATTCTTTGACTAGGCGCATAAATTTCTGGTATACATAATGGTAGTTTGAATCTCACTTCTTCTAAAATAAAACCAGGATATTTGGAAGTTGTACACTAGAGGCTGAAATTTCATTTTAGATCTTGGTTTCAAGGAGGACACGTGTTGTAGGTTAATATCAGCAGTTGGAAACTACTTAGATCAAAGACTAATGTTCACTTAGTGTTTAGAATGCCTTTAAATGAATGACTACTCATTACTTGCTGTTGGTGTGATTGTTTTGTGATTACTTATATCAGCAAGTAGGATATATTCGACCACTATTCAGTCTCCTACTTTGGTCTAGCAGACCAGATAATGTCAACGCTATGACTCGTAGTTTGAAGAGTAGGAAACTGTATCCACTAATTCACTAGGCAAATGATAGTGCTGGTCATACTCAACTTCATCTCGGAACCTTACAGTGATTTCTAAATAACTTTCGTGTTTGAGCTACATGGTAGCTCAGCATTTCTGTATGTTTTAATTTTAAGTGAAAGAACATTGTGCTCTTTCGCAAGTAACCGAGAGGAAAGATAGTCTCTGTTAACATGAGGGGAGTTCACCTTCAGCTTTTTACTAGGAGTGCAGGGTGCTATCACTATGATTTTACTTCACTATATTTTGCAATCACAAGAAACTAACATGAAACGGACTAAGTTGTCACTCCAGGAATTACAACATTCAGTAGAAGAAAGTAACAAGGGAAAATTTAACAGGTGACTATTGAAATTAAAGTGAAAGTCTGCATCATGGATGGACTTGAATTAGCGACTCATGTTCCCGACTATCACGCATAACATCAGTAGTCGTCTGCCAACCCAAGGTTACTTCAGATAGTCTTATCATCAAAGGAAAATATATGCATTCTGCGATTACACCTCACGAAATATAGAATTAGTAAATTGGAAGATAAAATATCAAACTGGATATGGTATGAATGTTTATTTTCACTCTAATCGATTCCATATCACGTCACATAAAATCTTACAGTCTGTTTTACTCGTCTCATGGACCCCAACTACGAAGGTGATTAATCTGTCTAAAAAGCAACTAAAATTTGAATAAACTACTCACATGTCCATGTATGAACATTCTTATCATGTCTATTACTTTATATTATTTACGAGTTGGTCATGGATTGATATCAGTTAGAGAACCATTGGAGACCAGGGAGTACTGGACAGCTGCTGTTTCATCCTAGTTTGGAAATCATCATCAGTACGCACCCACTGGGATTCGAACCCAGGATCATCCGGTTACAAGGCAAGCTTGTATACCATTCAGCCACTGGTACCCGATTCAATGGCTCATGAATTCTCACTTCTATCAATTCGTGATTTAGCACGACCCCAACCGCTGTCGTCGGTGGGACAGCACGTGACATCTGGATTGACCTCATTGGTCATGACTTCTCACTAGAACTCGAGGATTCTCCATCCTGTAGCAAGTCACTAGCGAGCATGAGATCAATTTTATATAGTTTTGGTTTGTTAGGGTTAGTTATGTTGGGGTCGCGCTAAATCACGAATTGATAGAAGTAAGAATTCATGAGCCATTGAATCGGGTACCAGTAGCTGAATGGTATACAAGCTTACCTTGTAACTGGAAGATCCTCGGTTCGAACCCTGGTGGTGGGTGCGTACTGCCGATGATTCCCAAACTAGGGTTAAACAGTAGCTGTCCATTACTCCTTGGTTTCCAGCCGTTCTCTAACTGATATCAATCCGTGATCAATTCGTAATAACATAACTAACCCTTACAAACCAAAACTAGATAAAATTTATATTATTTAATTTAATGTTTCACATTGGGATATGTGGTTATTGAATAAGTGCAATATATCTATCAGTCTTCTCCTTTGAAGAATGTCTAGACGAATATCAGTCAATTTATCTCTCTTACCTACGTTTTTGTGTCTGCATTTTTCTTTGTCTTGAGATGGTTTGTCCACATACATAGTTGATAATACAATTTCAGTGAAGAAAAAATGCTTTGAGTCTTTTCTAAAATCGATTTTTAATGGTCATATCTGACCGTTTGAGGATTTATAAAAATATTTTAAGAATAACTAACAAATGACTGATACAATTTTGGCCATATTCATCCTCGAAATCTTATTTAAAAGATCAGACGAATGTTTTAACTTACACTAAAGGCACTGACTAGGATATTAATAGAATTTTGATCTAAAAAAAGTGTTAACTTCACGTTCAGTCAATGAGTCGCAGAATCGGTCGTAATTGGTCTTAAACTAAAGATATTTTCCATTATATTGAAACCAGAGTATATTTTAAAATAGTGTAAGTTTTCAGTTCAGGCAAACACTTTTGTTATTGATATGATCACAGAGTTGGATGATTTATTTTCATGTGTTAGTTTTCAGGGATTTGATTGGTATCAATTTTGATCACGAATTGACTTCGGAGCAGTACTCTACAGTCGTTTTGTCTTTGTCCAGGGTTCTTCAGCAATACACACACATGACCCCACCAAGGATTGAACCCACAAGCTTCAGTTTACAAGGCACACTTGTATACCATTCAACCACTAGGACAGAATCCAGTGGCTTATCAACTCTTACTTCCGCCAATTTGTGATGTAGCCTGACAGCTAACCAATTTCATTGATGTGTATCTGTTCTCATGCTTAACAGCTGTGTCAGTACTCTCTTGTTTTCAATGGTTCTCTAACTGAAATCGATTTATAATCAAAATTGGATGATTTAATTGCAAAAGTTTCACTGTCTTTCTGGACAACAACATTTTCAGCGCTACATTCTACATCGATGAAATACTTGTCTCTTCTACCGAGGTTGATTGTGACTGATTATCCCCGCAAATTTCTCTATGATTGGTAATGATCCTTTTGTTGACCTGATATCTGACCTTTAGGTTGTATAATCTATTTTTGATTAATTGACTGATATATCGGTTACAACTGTTTAACTAATCTAGTGTTAAAACTAACTATATACATGAACGTACTAACTTGTGTATTTTTGTTTCTTTTAGTTGAATAATGAAAAAGATTCATCCTCAAGTGTTACGTAATCCGTAAAGACACACATATATACATGTACCAATGCTAGATATATTTACACGTAAATATGATACAATATGGGTCATGTAAATAATTACAGGAAGTAAATAAACAACTAAACAAAATTATTATGTCTCACAATTAAATGCTAATGAAACACTCGTCTTTTTTCTTGTTCATTTTCTCTAAAAACTTTTACATTTAGGATTTTATTTTACTGTTCGATTGTTTGTTTGTCTGACTACTTTGTAACAATAAACTTCCTTTTCACACTCAACAAAAAAGGTGTAACTAATGGATAGACAGTATTCAGCCAAGAAATTCCATGGAAATCTGATGAATTTATTAAATTCAACCTTATTAACATTTACTGCCTGTTTCATTCACTTATTTTTAAGAAATAAAAAGTAAGGAGAGTATTGTCCTCTAATTTTTACAAGTGATCACGTTATCAACTAGGTATGTTTGTTTTTTTATCTGCTCTCTTCGCATTCCTCTAACTAGTTTGTAGTTACTTATAAGTGAAACACTTTCCTCTATTTTCCCTTATACACTTTCTATGGCATTTATTAATCAAACGTATATTTCTTGAGAAATACTTGTAATCATTTTCTTAGTAATTTTACTTTTTCTCATCATTTCCTCTATTACATATACGTACCATTTTTACAAAAAAAAATAAAAGATATGAAGTATCATTAATATTTGTTTTAAATGAATATCAAGTTGTGCGGTCTATTCAAGAACTTAATCACATTTAGAAGTAATTACTAGTAAAGCTAATTGTTTGATAACTATTTGTTGTAATATGCTTATAAATAAGGTGTAAAGTTGATCATAAAATTGATTTATCACTGGAGTTTAACCAGTCTCATGTACTTTGTTCTTAGCATTAATGCTAACTGAATTCTATCAGTGAAGTTTACCATATGGTCGGCAAGCTAAGAGACTTACAATCTCGGAGCACTTTTGATTTATTATTAGATGGTAGGAGTTAGTCGTCAAGATGAGCATGAACTAGATCCTGTGCTTATTGGCACTGATGAATAAGGCATATCTGCATTTTCAAAAGGAACCAGTGTCCACTGGTGGGTGCGAACGTACATCATTCAGTTCCACAGTCAGAGATATCACCATTGAGCTATTCAAACCTTTAATGTTATGTATACACTGACTTCTCGCTGTGGTTTAACCAATGTCATGTATATAGTCCTTCGTGATACCGACTAAATTCTGTCAGTCGCCTGGTTTGAATCCTCTAAGAGGACTTTGGATCTTATGAGGTCACATGTACGCCTTGATGATTAATACTAATCAGAATGAAACTTGAGTAGACGACTTTTTGTCAATCGCCTCTAACCATTAAATACAATCCATCTTTGCCTGATAAGTTATTAGATTAATAAGTTACTTTTATTAAACCATAAGAAGGTGAGAGTTAGTTTTTCCATCTTGGAAGTTGAATAATATTTTAGTTTAATTCATAGTGGTGAAACTAACCTTACTTTATTGGTTTGTTTATTATTTCGATAAGGCTTTAAGATTTACTTGACTATCTCTTGACTTTCAACTGAATTGGCTGTGTGTGCATATGTTTTTGTGTTAAACCTAAATTAAAACAAAGGGATGAAGGGTAAAGTGAAGTAACAGTTGCCTTTGTTAGAGATGAGGGTACTGTGGCTGCAGGTCTTTGAAGATGGGGATATGAGGGCATTTCTGAATGACTTTGAGATTGTCATGGACCTGGAGCCGGAAGCGAAGCTGATTGTCTTGAGGACTGTAGAGAGGTCGGGTGAAAGCTGCCCTCGACACATTATGTGGAGCTGGTCGAGAGATGCCGCGGCAGAAGAGTGTCAAACGGCCTATTTCTAAGTTAGATAGCCCGACATACAAATAGGAAGCGTTGCAGAAATTTAGAATTCTAGGGCTTGGACACAAAAAGAGACCCACTGATTTGTTTAGTAATCTTAGTAAAACTTCTACGACTTACTTTACTAACCTTAGACAAAGAATCAGACTGGCAGTTACCGGATTCTCAATTAACGAAATCAGCCTCCACTGTTACTAGCCATCAGCTGCAATTATAGTGAATGCAGTTCGACCTGTGGGCATGCACGAACTAGTGAAAACCACATGGCACTTAATGAGGCCAGTAGCCACACCAATGATCAACAGTTGCGAACAAGCCTGAAGTATGAACGATAGGTCAAAAAGTATAGAAAGAGATGTTAGCACTTAGATCAAATGTGAAACAAAGTGACAAATGATCCGGTTGTGGAAGTAAAAGCCATCGCCATGGAGACTGCCTGGAAAGGAAATGCAGAAGTTTAAAATGATACAGTCCTTCTCTCTGTCGTGTTAGTTCAAGGTTTGTGGTTTTGACAGAAAGACTGTATGGAACTGAGTATGGGACAACAATAGTAAACGAACGAGAGCTGCTTTGGTTGATGCACAGAGACACCCGTTTCACTGATGGGGGAAGAACAGTTTAAAGACATAGGCGCTCGGCATTCGGCAATTCAGGAGGTAGGAGGACATGCATTAGGGTCCCCAGTGTTTGGTACTATGATCCAGAGATAGGAAAAAGCAACAAATGCTCTGCATTTTATGAGACATCAGAGGAACGACAAAATATACTGGGTGAGAATTTCATGGGAGAAATAGCTGCAGTGACTGATTTGAAGAATAGTTAAGTGAATATGAAATATGGACAGTGTGCAATTCACTAAGAAAGTGGACTAGCCGAAGCAGAAATATCAGTAACCATTAAGAGGGAACCATCAAGTATACTAGCTTCTTTATAGCTGACAAAGAATATCAGGCTGTGCTGAAAAGTAGGCGGAAAGTAATCTTTATAAAACAACGACTGCCAAGGCATGCAGAGGAAGATGTAAACAGAGAAGTTCATGAAATTTTGGTTGAGATGATAATGTAAGAAGCCAACAATCCCTGCTGATCGCCAATTTTGTCAGCAAAGAATTCAAACGGGAAGCATATATTTTTGTTTATTTTAGAGAACTGGACAGCTTAACCGAACTACAATTGTGTGAAATTCAAACTGTGATAGAAACACCAGATCATCTTCAGAAAGCTAAGATGCTCATTGTTCGCTGGCAGGATATTGAAAGATACCATTGGAAGAAAGTGGTTAAATTTAAACTATAGTGACCCAAAGCGAAACTGCTTAATAAAAGGACGGGTTAACGTTGATCAACCAATCAGATGGGCCCGTTGTAAGTGAGCCTAATTTAAAAACTTTTTATAGACATTAAAGTCGGCGTTACACAATGACTATACGGGGAAAATCCCTCGTATGCGTCCCTAGAAAACCTCCTAATTCCTTACTGGAGTCTTCAGTCCTCGTTCAAACTTATTTCTGTACATAAATTTGTCCAGACAACTGAGTATCGTGCTGTTTCGTGCCCCATTTATTGCTCTACAGCTCTTATGAATCTAAAATAGAAACGATATATCTTCTCTGACAGATTTTTGTTAACTGCAGCCTGAATATCTGTACATATATCCATCAACAGCACTGCATACCTCTGTAAGGATACTACTCCTGCACATCTACAAACTTCCTATAAGCATGTTATCCCTACAGCACTTAAGTACTGGCTCTTGATGGAATTTACAACGTAATTCGTGTACTGCATATATATTTCCGCTTATTTACTACTGGCTGATCTGACTGGTTGACCAAGATCATTATGTCTGTTTACTTGGGTCTTTCGTTTAGGTCACTATTTTGATTTTGTATTGCGGATCTACGGGAATGCTGCAATCAATTCAGATGCTACGCTTGATTGTTTTAAGGGTGTTCTCATAACTGCCAGCATATCTGTTACGAAGTTTGCTACACTATGAGCCAAAATACCTTGTCGTAGACTTCATCCTTACCCCCGGACATTAATAAGATTAAATCTCAGTTAGCCGATATCCACTATAGTTTTTACTAGCTGGTGTAAGCCAAACTGATTTATTTGTGCCTACTTCCTGGTTGTAGGGCGGACATTCCCCATCTTGGGTAAACTTCTACGTATTGTGCCTAGCCATTCGAATCCGGTGGCTTTTGTTATTTCCTAGGGAAGTACTGCAGAGGTTGGTTATAAGTAGTTTGCAGTATGCGGTACATCAATTACTGTGAATGAAGTTGACCCTTTAATCCATTAGTCTTCCGGTGAGACATCAATAACAAATATAACTAGTGTAGATTATATAGATAGTAGGCGATAATTAGGTCACCCCTAAGCTAACGACAACTGTTTGTGTTGTTGAACATTGAGTGCACTTTCAATGAACTTGTTTGTACGAACCGGTTTCCTGTTCGGTGGGGGCAACAATCCCTGTCGCCGTTTCGATGTTTGCTCGTTGGTAGAAGACTAGAGCAATGCGATCAGAAGTATTAATGTATATTACTGTACTGTACTGACGTTATCTGTAGGATTTTCTAGCGTACTGATGTAACAACAGAATACAGTGGCCAGGCAGCAGATCGTTTATTAAGGAAAATCAACACATATTTATAGATTTTAATGTACATTATTGTAGATTACTGTTAGTAGAAAATACAGTCGTTTGATTGGTTGTTTCTCACAGAGAGTTAACCTTGCATCTCTTTGTGGCTGTGTCAGATCATCCATATGCTAACTGTATCCGCCTACGCAAAGCCTTTGTTCTCATTTTCTCACCACCAATATTGGGGACATAAACATTGACGTCAATTACTCTCTTCCAAGTTTGGTTAGCAGCCAGCTCTCACCACACTGATATTAGCCAACTATAAATCGCACGATCAAGCTGCTATGTAACTAATTTGCTATATTGGCTTGTGCTTAGTCGATCAATAAATCTTCAACTTACCGTCCGCCTTTTAATACCACTCACGTTGAAATTGAGTTGGTTATTATATACGTAAAATGGTATACTGAGTTCCGTAGAGTTGTACTCTGTCTACGGCGAATCTTTCGGGTACCGGTATTGGCAGCAGCTAAATGTGAAAAAACCTTCCTCTGGAGACCAGTCACAATCTTTGCCACACGACTTTGAAGTCTTTCCAAAAGGTTGGTGTCCATTTTAAGTAATGGGAGATCAGTGATACTGTGCTCCTCAGGGTACAGTTTTGTGTATATTTTACACAACCTTCGCAAAAGCTCAGAAATGAGCGAACTTAACTGTCTTTGCGTAAAGTGTAAGACCGTGTATGGCCTTACCACACCGTTAATGTAATTCATTTTTGTACCAACCTTTCCATTAGAAAGAAACGGTAGTCACGCTCTGACTTGACACAGATAGAACACTGTGTAACTCCTGATATCGAACTGCGCCAGGATGATAGGACAGAATCAGCTTTGATGCAGAATTCTCTTCCATTCAGGTATTCTTTTATCAGTGCCAGAGGTGGGCCATCAATAGCCACCTGAATTATTTCGTGCAGGGGGAGATCATGCTGAACGGTGTCTAATTCCTCCACGAAAATGAAGGAGGCCATATGGACCAGAACATGTGCGTCGGTGGCAGAGTGGTTAGGACTCTCGCCGACCATGCACATGGTCCGGGGTTCGATTCCCTGCCGGCGCACACCCGATATCTATGGTCGGCCTGAATTTGGGCTACCGATATCCATGCTGAAAATTCCACACTTGTACTGAAAATACG